ATTTAATTTATCATTCCTTTGATTCTCAATCACTAAAACATCACTGAGAGTCAAAGACTAACCTTGAAAAAATCTTTAGTTATGAGAAAGATGAAATCCCTAATCCCATCCCCTTTAATGCAGGTATCTCACAAGTCTCTTGGGATAATCATATATGAGAAAATTGTAGCAAAAGCTTTATCTATAAATTGCTATTTATTTTTCAAAATTAATTTTACATCAATGATACATAGTAACACCTTCTGTTTGTTTCCTCTAATACATAAAAATAACAATTTGATCAAGTATTTATATCTCCGCAGAATGGGGCATTGGATGTATGCATTAATTCTCATAAGCAAGAAATTGTAAATATATAACTCCTTTATATCCTTCTTCAGACATTTCTCTTTGTAAATTTCCCTATATCTTTTAAATACAAATAAGTCATATATTTCCTATCTGTGCATTATAAATTCATTTGAACATCATGCCCGCTTTTCTGGATGCTATTCCATTAAATGCTCAACTTTTTTGTTACTTGATTACTGTTGTAGATTATTATTTTAAGATGTGTCACATTTATTTATGTTGTGGAATATTTGTTTAATGATGCAAAGATGTGTTGCAATCCTTTATGCTGCATTTGTCTAACTCTGTGGAGCTGTTATTTTTTCTAAAACACATGATTGGTCTAATAAACAGTTGGATTGTCAATAGCAAGTCAGGAGAAAGGATAGGAGGGTCTGGCAGGAAGAGAAAATAAATAGGAAGAGAAGTCAGGGGAGAAAAAGATCGAGGAGCGGTATAAAGAAGAGGACACCCAGGGTCAGTCGCCAGCTACACAGTAAGCCATCGAATAAGAAGGAACGTAAGAAATAAAGATAAAATCGCAGATTCAAAACATAGACAGGACAATTTAAGTTAAGAAAAGCTGGCTAGAAACAAGCCAAGCTATGGGTAGGCATTCATAAACAAGAGGAAACCTTTGAGTGATTTATTTGGGAACTGAGTGGTGGCCTCTCCAAAGATCTAAGAAAAACTATTAGAAATTGCTATCCTCTGAGGCCACATTCTTTTTTTTTTTTTTCATGGACTATTATTTTTTTTTTCCTTTTTTTTTCTTTTTTTTTAAAATTTATTTATTAAATATTTCTGTCTCTTCCCCACCTCCGCCTCCCCTTTCCCTCCCCCTCCCCCAATCATGTCCCCCTCCCTCCCTCCCGTCCCGTGGGAAGTCCAAGGAAAACCCTCCTCTGTCCAGGTCTCGTAAGGTGAGCATCCAAACAGCCTAGGCTCCCACAAAGCCAATACATGCAATAGGATCAAAAACCCATTGCCATTGTTCTTGATGTCTCAGTAGTCCTCATTGTCCTCTATGTTCAGTGAGACCGGTTTTAACCCAGGCTTATTCAGACCCAGGTCAGCTGGCCTTGGTGAGTTCCCGATAGAGCATCTCCATTGTCTCAGTGTGGGTGCACCCCTCGCAGTCCTGCGTTCCTTGCTCATGTTCGCTCTCCTTCTGCTCCTGCTTTGGACCTTGAGATTTCAGTCCGGTGCTCCAATGTGGGTCTCTGTCTCTGTCTTCTTTCATCGCCTGATGAAGGTTAATGTTCAGGAGGATGCCTATATGTTTTTCTTTGGGTTCTCCTTATTTAGCTTCTCTAAGAACCCTAATTATAGGCTCAATGTCCTTTATTTATGGCTAGAAACCAAATATGAGTGAGTACATCCCATGTTCCTCTTTTTGGGTCTGGCTTACCTCACTCAGGATAGTGTTTTCTATTTCCATCCATTTGCCTGCAAACTTCAAATAGTCCTTGTTTTTTACTGCTGAGTAGTACTCTAATATGTATACATTCCATACTTTCTTCATCCATTCTTCAATTGAAGGGCATCTAGGTTGTTTCCAGGTTCTGGCTATTACAAACAATGCTGCTATGAACATAGTAGAGCATATATTTTTGTTGCATGATAAGGTGAGGCCACATTCTTATTGTGAAATAATCAGGGAAGAACAATGACAGAGCAGCAGGTAGTGCTGTGTGTTTGGATGCTAACCATAGGTGCAATGTGATGTCAACATTTTCTCCTTTGGTCAATATCTGTCATTGTGATCTATTAAATCATCCTGTCCCGTTTCTCTGTTGTTGCTATGATAAGATAACCTGAAAATAGCACCACAGAGAGAAAAGGTTTATTTTGCTTCAATTTCCAAGGGTACAGTTCATCCTACAGGCGAAATTGGGGCAACTGGAGCATGAACCAGCTCCTTACATTCACAATCCCATGCAGAGTGTGCTGAACCTGGTCAGCTCTCTCTCTCTCTTCATTTTTACTGTTCAGGATACAAACAAGGAACAGTGAGCAAATTTTCCCATCTCAGAACAGTCAAGATAAACTCCCCATAGGCATGCCTAGAAGCTGATATCCAGTTCTCCAGAAAAGCTCGAAACAAAACACTACAAAGCAGCATGCAAAAGCAAAGTCTTCTGCATCTCAACTGGGCTGTCTGTTAGCTTCATGTAGGTGTTGGTTTTTCCCACATTTTGATCATTACGGTTAGGGCGTATGTTAGATCACGATACAATTCTCTTTTTTTTTATACTTTTTCATTCAAAAATTTACACTTCCTCACCTCCTCCCATTTCCCTCCCGCTCCCCCACTCCCCTTCCTTCTTCCCCCTCCCTCCTTTAAGAGAGGGCAGGGTACCCTGCCCTGTGGGAAGTCCAAGGCCCTCCCCCCGCCCCTCCATCCAGGCCTAGGAAGCTGTGCATCCAAATGGACTAGGGTCTCAAAAAGCCAGCACATGCAGTAGAAACAGAATGCTATTATCGGTGGCTTCTCAGTCAGCCCCCATTGGCAGCCACAATCAGAGTCCGGTTTGATCACACGCTCAATTCAGTCCCGGTCCAGTTGGGTTTGATGAGCTCCCATTAGACCAGGCACACTGTCTCAGTGGGTGAACCAACCCCTCCCAGTCCTAACTTCCTTGCTTTTCTTCTTCCTCATTCTGCTCTTCAACTGGACCTTGGAAGGTCAGTCCATTGCTCTGATGAGGGTCTCTGTCTCTATCTCCATCCCACACCGACCAAAGATTCACAAGCTTAGAGAAGCCAAATAACAAGGTGAACCCAAAGAAAAACATATATAGATTCTCCTGGAAATTGGAAGCAAACAAGATCGCCTGGCAAAAGTTGGAAGCATGGGGGTGGGAGTAGGGGCGGAGGTGGGGATGAGAGAAGGGGAGAGTGGGAGAGAGAAGAGAGAAGGGAAAGACTGGGGAGAACTTGGGGGATTGGGAGGGTGGAGATGCAAGAAGGGCGAATATAGGAGCAGAAGATATCTACATTAAGGGAGCCAGTTTAGGGTTGGCAAAAGACTTGGCTCCAGAGGAGATCCTAGGTGTCCGTGGGGATGCAGCTAAGTCCTTGGGCAGCAGAGGAGAGGGTGCCTGAACTGGCCTTGCCCCCACTATCACACTGATGACTATCTCCAATATCATGATACAATTCTAGAAGCATTCACATATTAGCATGTTATCTACTTGAATCTATACTATTCTGAGAAAATATTTGGTTATGTCTTTTTAAATTAACCCTTAGCTTGAAGAATTATATCCTGAAATCAGTATAGCTGGTACACAGATACTTATAGTTTTGAAAAGTAAAAATACTTTGAGTGTGTAATAATAGGATATTTGAAATCTAACTGAGTTGGACAAGTATCACTTTCCTTTTTACTTCAACACGCTGCACAGAGATAACTGATTTCCCATTAATCCTTTGGCCTCTTGCTTTTTTCTCCGTCAGTGAATAAAGCTCTTTAGGAGGAATGTATAACCAGAATAATTAGTTATAATGTGTTAAAAGTAGAGATGAGGTGTTCAGAACTATAAACTCAGTAATCCCATAATTTCTTTCAATAAGAATCTGTCTTATATGTAAGGACAAGTGGATTTAACTGATGAGAGTACTGTCACGATAATATCTCTACATATACTCAAGCATGTTAACTGCTATGCCCACCAGTATTGCTTTGGGAAAACATGCGGATAGGCCAGCATGTCTGTTGGGCTGAGATAAGCAACAGCATGGATGCTCTCAGAGTTCAACTGTTTATACAAGTTTTCACATTTTTATTGATTCCTTGGGAATTTTGCATCCCAATTCCACTCATCTCCCAATGTTTCCATATCCTCCCCTCTCTCTCGTAGTGCTCCCCCCAGGAAAGATAAAAATGAATAAAAATAAGATAAAATGAATAATAATTAAAAGGAAATGAAAAACAATTTGCTTCTCTCTCTCTCTCTCTCTCTCTCTCTCTCTCTCTCTCTCTCTCTCTCTCTCTCTCTCTCTTTCCATTGCTTCTGCATGCATCTTAGTGATGTTGGGAACTGCTGTGTATCATGCAGTATACTCTTTCGTCCAAACAGCTTTACTTGCTAATGTTCACTGTGTCCAGAGGTGTTGGTCAGGTTCAAGGCCTCTGACTTTGCTAGGTCATCAAAACTAGATCCTCACTGAAACTCTTCTCAAATATCCTGTTGTTCCAAATCATGGTGGTCCTGCGACTAAGATTCTGCAGGATCAGTCTCTTCACACACCCCAGCAGGTCATATAGATGGGGTAGATTTGGGGGGGGGGTGACTACTCCAAATGCTGGATATGTGCCTGGGTGGAAGTTCAGTTGATCAGTCAGGAAGACAGCACTCTCAGCTGAGGGGCGGAGCCAGCTCTCCCAGGGTATCATGAGGGGTGGGGCAAACTTTCCCAAGTATGGGAGGCCAGCTCTCTTATTAGGGATGTAGTTAGCTTTCCCATGCTGTGGGTCATCAGGGTCCCTTATCTCAGGGCTGTGGAACTTCGGTCAGATTTCCTGGGGACGGGGGTGGGAGATGAGTGGGACTGGGATGCAAAATTCCCATTTTCATTGACTTAGAGCTCCAGTGCCATGCAATATTTCTTCTTATTCTTAAGGACCTTAGCTTCTCCACTAATGTGAACTTCTTTAATTTCAGACAGATAAAGGACTGTCAGAAGTATGGCAACAAAGCAAGCCAGACCCTGATAATCATTGGCAAAAGGCCACCATCCTGTTGGGAAAATTAAGGAATTTCAAGGTCATATTTCAAGGAATCAGAACAAAGGATCTAGGAGGTGGAGCTGCGATTGATGATATTGAATTCAAGAACTGCACAACTGGTGAGTCTCTGGGAAGCTTTCCCATCCAGAAACACACTTAGAGTGCCACTGTTTCCATCTTTTCTATATATTTATAAAATGTGTCATTCTGTGGCATATATATATATATATATATATATATATATATATATATATCTTAAAGTGACAAAAATAAGCCAGTTAAACAGATTAGAAACTGGCTGCCAATGCATGCATGAGAAATAAATTTAAGTTTACATCAAGCATAACCTTAGGAGGTTTTTAAATGCTGCTCCAGAATTAGACCTACATTCAGACAGAATTGTGACAGAATTCTGCAATCCTTTCTGACACATCTAAGTGTGAAGTCTAGCTACAGATTTTCTTTACAGAATTACCTAGTAAATGTCAAAACTAATTATGAATAAGTTTTTACAGTTTCAGTTTGCAAAACTGAAAAAAAAAAAGAGAAATTCTTTGGCTTGAGTTCCCAAACAGTCTTGTGTGATACATACTGCCAATGAAAGACATTCCTGTGGTTTTCTTTTCTTACCCACTTGGAAACAAGCCTCTGAGAGAGAAGAACAAATCCTGTATGTGAATTAATTTTCCTGTTGCTCTCATATTAAAATATCATTTCACCAGGGGAGTTAACACTGTGACTTTGGCATAAGTGATGTTATCTGCCCATGTTATGAGCGGGCCTGCCTTGTACTCCGGTTCATCAGAAACAAACCTTTTGAAACTTTGCCCCCCTGCCCATTATTTCTAGAAAAGGCAGTCACTCCTCAGTTGCCTGACATATGTACATGAAGAAAGGCTCCTTCACATGGTCCCTATGATCCCTGCCTGATAAGACTTGGAGATGTTTAGAGGCTGATGCTTCAATAAATAAAAGTACAGTTGCGCACAATAATAAAGAAGATAATCGTAATTGTGCTTCCTTAAATAACTTCTCTGTAAATTGCCTTGTAATATGTTGAATAAGGATCAAATTCATTTTAAAATAAGCCTGAAGAATGGCTCCATTAAGGAGTCTGTTTTAGCTCACAACTTGAAGTTTATGACTTTTTAGACAAGTTTATATAGAAACAAACACACATAGCAAAAGATAACAAAATTATAGCCCCATTTTTTTTTAGTTTTTTTTAAATGATCCAATACAAATCTCACAGAGTTAAATATCCATTCCATAACATGGGAAGAAGGAAGGGTATATACTGAAAAAGAAACGAATGGCCATCATTATAGTAAAAAAAAAAGTTCTTAATTTAGAGGGATATCTATTTCAATCAATTACAATTTAGGTACAATCATTCCCTAATTGTAAACATTCACCTGATACAGACCTTGCTATTAATCCTAAGTAGCATTTGTACCCAGTTCTGCAACAGGAGTCCTTGGCACCCACTTCCTCTCTGTTTCTTCTCTTAAATCAAGTGACATAATATTTTTTTGCCTTATTTTCTTACCTATAAAGTACCAATGATGATGTTCCTATCTTATACTATGCTCGTGCAGATTTAATTACTAACTCTAAATAATTTGTTTAAGGTATAGTTGGTGTCTTAATATTTGTTAGCTTGATAATTATATACAAACAACAGCGAAAGGCTGTTTTAGTGGTGAAAAAAATCTGTTCAACACTTACCATTTGATTCTCCTCCAGACCCTAGTTCCCACATGCTTAGCAACTATCTATTGGTTACAGAGGTTGAAAAAAATTCAATAAAATTCAGTGCATATCTCCTCGTAGCAGGGATGAGTGTGTGTCCCTTAATGTTCCAGCATGTGGATTTTTAAATTTCCCAGTTCATGGCATTGTTCTTGATTTTAACACACCTTAAACACTGTGTGTGTGTGTGTGTGTGTGTGTGTGTGTGTTACCTCTTGATAGTCTATTTCCAGGACCTCTCTGTAAACTGCCTCTAAGACACCCATAAACCTATGTTCTCAGGGTAAAAATCCAATAGCTATATAAATTATTTCTTTTTCTTCAGAAATTATAAAAATGCAAATGAGTCATTGCCAGCTTTTAGTTTAGGAAAAAGGAAAGAGAAATTTTAGGGTATAGAAAAATACTCCCATAAATCCATAAAATCTACTAAGGACAAAACGATCTATGTTATTTCTCTATAAATTCAGAATATTCAATCATATCATACCCACCAAATAATCCTGACTACAAAAGATCAAAACAATTTGAAAGAAAATGTTTGAAAATAGCACCAATTTTAGATGTCTAGGACATTGTCCCATACCTAATCTAAAGAAGAGACTTTTTTTGTTACTGTTTCATATCTGTTTTCCCCCTTAAAACCTATAGTTGAAACTCCTGACTATTCCTGGAAAAAGTAACTGATCTGAAATGTGAACAGGTAGAATGATGATCACACCTGCAACACCTTGGATTTACCTTGAGATTGGAGGTCATAAAGCAGTGATTACTCTATATAAGGTTCACAAATAAATAATTCCGTAAACAGAATCCAGTAGAATTTGATATTAAAACATAATCTCTACATTTTGTTTAAGTAGTAAGTTCTGTTTCTGCTCAGTGTATGAGTGTTGCTTCATTTTAAAATAAATATTGGGGTAGAAGAAAATGATCCTAAGTAGAAAAAGTAAATATCTCACTCCATTAAAATAATTAGAAATGACTTTTATTGTAAATAAAGAACAGCTACAGCATTTGTGACTTTATAATGTAAGGGTAAACAAAGTGAATTCATAAGTGGAAGGTGGATGAGTGGAAGAACAGATGGAAACTGTATCTATAGAGGTATTTGTACAATATAGAGAATTACCCCTGACGAGAGTAGTAAGAAAGATGCAATTTGAAGTTGCAGGTGTTAAAACTTAAATAAAAGTAGACGTCAATCATGGAGACATTTAGGGAAAGGATAACCTTGAGATAGGCAGATTTAAGCAAACACATTGCTAGTGCAGAATAACAATAGCTCATGGTGTATAGAATTTTGTCATCCAAAAACATGCTTGCTATGTATAAATAGACTCTCCTAGCAAGGGGACTAAGTAAGGTGATGCTAGAGGGAGTTTCTTAAGTGTAATTTTGACTCTCTAGAAGATTAAAAAAATTTCATAAATTTTTTAACTGCTGCATGTAAAAATAAGACATACCCTATAGAATCAGCTAGAGGATAAAGCAATCAATACAAACTGTGCACATTCGGTGCTAATACTTCATGTTAGCTACTCTACCTACACTAAATGATTAGTGACATTAGAATTAGTATTGTCATAATGCTTAAATTAACTCCCACAAACTCTGAAAGAAAAGTTACATAGGAATTACTCTGTTTGCCAGCTTGGTTATCTTTCTAATACTTAATGGTAGCTTCCATTGAGCTACTCTGTAAAAATCACATTGGTTACCTGGAGGTAAAAAGCAGTTATCTAGTGGTGACATATCTGGTGGTCAGTGTAAAATGATTATCAAGTTTTCTGAGTCCAATAAAACTATTCAAGGAGTACCAGGAAATGAATGTATTACAACCTAAGATGAAGAGGAACAAGCAAAGCCTAGGGTTTATGGCAGGACCAACATGGCAAGGGAAAGCTGTCCAGCACTGATGGATACTCATTGTAATTACACTTTCACAAACTGGCCCATAGCTGACAGTCAGGGGAATGGAGTCTACCTTGGCTTTTATTTTCCGAGGAAAAGGACACACTTGACAACAATGCAGCGGGATACTTGAGAAACCAGAGATGGAGCATGGAAAGTCCCAGCCCCTTCTCTCTTAACTTAGCTGGCTGCATTCTCAGCACCTTCTTCAGTTACCAGAGCTGACAGCAAGGGAGTGAGGCGAATAGGGAAGCCCTGTGGCCACCAAAATTACCCTCTTACAAAACCTTTGTCAGAGACTACAAAAGCTCTCAAAGGAAAATGTAATGTCAGACTTATCAGTGTTTACTAGAGAGGCACAATTTGTAATATTAGTTCAAGTACTATAAGGCAATGCAAATTCAAGCTTAATTTTTTTTGGTGTTCAAGTAATCTTCATTATTAGAGTTGCTCTATCTTTAGAAATATTAGGAAAACATTTTAGTAAGGGAATGGATGCAAAACTTTAACTCTTGAGCCAAATCCAGTTCTTTGAAAGTTTTGTTCTTGCTAGTGGTGGTGATAATGGAATTTCTTTTTCTTGAGATGTGTTTCAATGTGTAGCACAGGCTATCTTTGAACACAGTGCTACTGATTAATAAGTACCATATTGTTTATAGTTTATTACCACATCTGACAGAGATATTTATTTATTGTTCAGAAAATATTTTCAAGAACATCTCCTCTTCAGTTAGAGGAATTCACATGAGTAAATCTTACAAGCTTGCTGTCACAGCTAGAATGTGCCACTGGAAAAATGAAATGTTGATATCTTGTCTGCGAACTCCATTGCTATAGATTCATTTTAATAAAATTGTCTTATTCAAGTAAAGCTATTACTCTAGATATTACCTGTGTATTTGAGAAGACCTCATGGCAAGTTCAAAATCTACTAGTTCTAGTCTCCTTCAGTTTAAGAACCACCTAAGAGTTTTGGGATATGAAGAGATTGGTGAATAAAACTGATTTTCAAAATTTGTGGATTATGTTTAAGTAAAATATCACTTAGCCAATCCTGTCAAAAATGCATTGTTATGTCTTGTATCATATAGGGAGACATTACTTATAGTTAAAACGGTTACAAAACCATTTTGTACAAAGAACTGTGTTTGGTAGTGAAGTGTCCAGCATTATCATCTGCATGCGCAAGCTTGTTACCTTTTGTAAGAGCCCATTCTAAGAATTCTTGTTGCTTAATGAATGAATGAGGAAATGGCATATGAGTAATTAATCCTTCGTGAGTTTATTCAGTGTATATATGTCAACACAGAGTAATTTATCTTCAGATTTAATTTGTTTGTGTTAAGAAAGCATGTTGAGCATGCCCAGTTCTACACTGTGAGGAAAGACTCAGGGTGCACACAGTTGTGTAATTTTGAACTAAGAGGTTGTACTTGCCTTTGTGGCATCTGCC